TATTTCGTTCACCTATATTTGTTGATGGAAATAAAATAAATTCGTCGACCGTGAACAATTCACTCCATCTAAATTAGAAAATTGGGCAAAAAGTAACGACCAATGAAGGGAATCGTTGTCGTATGCTGGTAATTTTATATAATGTGATGAAAGTAGTGTAGATAAAGAGGTTAAATTTTTTTTAGGGAAAGGAGATTTCCTCTTCAATCTTCCTTTAGAATATAAATATCTTTATCATATGATAATTGGAATTAGACCTATAATAGTAATAACTGTCATTAATTTATTTCTGACGAATTATAAAATTATAATAGGTCCAATTACGAGATCGTCACTATCTATAAAATATGTAATTTTCGAAGGAAAATCTCATAATTTTTTTTTGGTGAGATATAACAACATTAATTGACCCAAGTACTCGTTGTGGTTAGACTATCAAATCTTTAACATTGAGTTGTGAGTTATGGGGTGCACATGCAACACCAACAAACTCATCCATATATTGAACTACTGTCACAGAGTTATCCCAACCAACAACATTACCGACGGATGGAGGTTGAGGCCTGAAAATTTTAGCCAGATATGGCAAAACTTGTTCGGTATATTTGGAGTATGTACGTATATCGGAATGGGTAATGCCCCCACATCAATCTACCATACATCTAGGCCAGGGTTTTAAGTAAATTTTATTCATTGACCATCTTTTTTCCATATATGGTTTAACAAACGAACTCACTTTTTATTCAAGTCAACTTCATTATTCGTCCATTAAATTGCTTTATTTAAATCTATGATAGACTCTCGACAATTAAATCTAATTTTTATATATAAATATGAACCTAACTTTACCCCTATATATATCATGTTTATTACATAATGGTTGTCTCTTGTTCCTATATGTAATGGGGTAAGGGGGAGATAAGATAGTAGGTTGCCTCCAACACTAGATTGAGAGCAGCTTCCGTAGGAGACCTCCAAATTATGAAATGCCTTCCATAGGACTCGATCTCACGACCTCAAGGTTAAGAACCTTATGCTCTACCAACTGAGTTGGATGGTCATTTCTAATGTTTATTACATAATAAGAACCTAATTATTAATAATATTATAAAGATATTATTATAATTATAATATTATTGTACGAAATAATTTACCTCAGTGATTAAAGGAATAGTTGTTGTTCCTAAATGTCACGAGTTCAAGTACCAGTGACTGCAAAGATGATTAAGTGTTTATTGTTAAATGGTTGAAAGTACTTAGAACAAATACTACTCTGTAATCACCTTTAACTTAATCAATATATATATAATATTATTTCGGGTTAGATTAAATTTTTTTCATCTTAAATTCGAATTAGACCCGGTCTCATTCCTTCATAAATTTTTTATCTAATTATATCTAACGTGAATGCATCTAAATCAAAATTTGCAAATTAAAAAATGACTTAATCAAATTTTATTAAATAAAAATTTATCAAATTCAGATCAAATACTCATTCCAACTTGAAATCCAAAATTTTTTTTGGGAAACTTCACTTTTATTGTTAAGGAAATCAAGTTGGTTGACTTCAGCTTTTGATAAGTGTCCGACTCATTCTCTTATCTGACGTGGTAATTGAAAATATTTGCCAACACACGAGAGAAAAGGGTCGAAGAGTGTGCCACGTGTCGGCTTCAGAAAAGAGCCATGCATCTGTGGGGCCACGAAGGAAGAACTCGGCTCGGCTGTTCCAAAACGACCCAACAAAAATTGGGACCTGCCGTAATCCGGTCCGAATATAGCAGCGGAAAACTGAAAGGGGTGGAAAATATCAACATGATTCATCGAGACGATTACTTAATAATATAATATTTTATATTTAAAATTCATAATCATAAACAATTTAAATATATTATAAGAACCATATATTTTATAAATATATATTTTAAAGTATAATAAAAATATTTAAAATATTTTTTTATAAATTTAATATTAATCTCACATCTAATTATTAAATTATACATTATTATAATATTTAATAATTTAACGATCAAAATTTTTAATTCTTTTTTTTTGGATAAGTAAATTTTTTAATTCTAAATGTGTCTGGTTGTGAAAGTTTTCTATCTCCACAATGTATCAATTATAAATATATGACAATAAAATATATTTAGTGAGATATGTATGATTATAACGGAACATTATTAACTAAGGGTCGTTTGTTTCACGGAAAACATTTTTCAGAAAATTTTTTCCTTAAAATAAATTACATCTTCTAGAAAATGTTTTATGGAGTTTAGAAAATGTTGTGTAAACCATTTTTCACTAGTTGATAATTTTTTTAGAAATTATTTATTGTAAATGTAAAATATAATAAATAATATTATTTATTATATAAAACTTAATATCATTATTATAAAAATATTAGAATAATTTATTGAATACTATTTATGTCAATATTATTATTAAAATATTATTTATATAATTTTATAAATAAAAATATTAATTCTAGTATATTCTATTAAAATAAAAATAAGATAAATTATATTGAATATCTATAAAAATAAAATATTATATTATGTTTTAAAATTATTAATAAATATATTTTAAGGAATTTTTATAATATTATTAGACTATTATATTAATATTAAATACATAAATAAAGGTATTTACTATTAATAATTCAATAATATTAATTTTAAGAAATTAATAAAATAATATAAATTTTATTAATAATTTATTATATATTAATAAAATAAGAATATAATAGTATCATATATTATTATAATATAATTGAGTATATTATTGTAATAATATTATTATTGTATTATATTATTAAAAATATTAATAAATATATTTTAAATATGTTAATAATTAATATTTTTATTAAAATGATACTAAAATATCATATTAATATTAAATTTATAAAATAATATTATTTTGAGTATTTATACTTTGAAGTGAAAAGTTTAAAAAATGACTTACGAAAAATTAAACTGCAAGTCATTTTCCAGAAAATGCAAAGGAAATTTTATTGACAAGAAAAATGTTTTATATTAATCAATCTGTTTTCCTCCAATCAAACACTGAAAAATGAGGAAAAAGTTTTCGAAAAAATTTTACTTGAAACAAACGGACCCTAATACTTTTTAAATGAGTTGAATAACAACTTCATTTATCACTTGTTTTTATATTTTATAAGAATATAAGTATACTAAATTAAAAAATTTTAAAAAATGCGCTAATGCTTATGATAATTAAGAAAAGCATAATATGAAAGGGTGAAAAGTACAAATATATAACACGTCTCGTCTACCATCATGTAATGCGATTGTGTTATATGGTCTAGGATTCTCTCAAATGCGGGTGTGTTCAAGCAGTTCCCGAAGCATGTTCCACTCTCCAAAGCGGAGAAATCGAGACTATTTTCTCATCGGTATCATGGGATGGTTGCTTTTGGAGTAGAAACCATTGCTCCCAAGATTCCACTGAGAAATCTTCTTGCCTCACCGGTGATTGCGACTCCGGGAAAGTGGAATGTGTAGGGAACAGTATTCCTCCGCCGACAATGTTAATGGCTAAATTTACTTTGGACGGTGGTGGAGGTTGGAGAAGATGAAGTAAAATAAAAATAATTATTTTTAGAAATTTATACAAGTGTTTCTATGAAAGTAAAAGGGACACGTGTCAATATATTCGTGAGGCACAAAAAGGGGCATATAGTGGGGACAGAGGATTTTTGTTTTTGTAATTAACGCTAAACTGTATTATTAAGCCACAAAATCAATTTCTTATTTGTCTGTGCCGGCCCTTACATATATTAGTAATCCGACATTGATGTTTCTTTGTTTTTATTCATCACAATAATAAAAAATCATTATCATTATTAGCTTTGATCCAGAATTTAACAAAATTAGGAAATATTTTTTTTGGTTATTGATAATGATATCTGTGGTACTAAGTTTAAACACAGAAGACAATATTATTAACAATAAGTCATAAATTTTAAACATAAATATTAAAATAAAAATATTATATATATTTTAAATTGATATATTAAATTTCAAAAATAATTAATCGGGGACATAATGAATTTTTAATATTGTCTTTAAAATTTAAAAACTCTATCAATGAAAAAGTGTGTTTGCTTCCCCTTCCTTCTTCCTTGGACAGGAAGTGTAAGGGGACAGGTGGGTCCCACGTGGCATGACATGAAGTGGTCGACATTACTTCTTGAGTTCCACGTCATTCCTCTTGACTTTTATAATCTTTAGTATATGTTTTATTTAATATTTTAATAATCAAAGCTAAATCAAATGGCAAACATGAACCTGCCCTCCATTGCTTAAAGGTATAATATCGTTTTCAGTCCTTCAAAATTTTAATAATTCAACTTAGTTCACAGAAACCCCAAAGTGAAGGGACCTAGTAGTAAATCAAAGAAGATTATCTGAACGTTTGTTCGTGCTGATTCATACATTTGATCTCCCTATAGTCATATAACCCTGAGTTCGTAAACGAGATAGAAATTTCCCCCACCCGCAAACAAAGAGCGTGGCGATCACTTTCGAACCAAGTTATTTCTTAACCCTACGCAAAACTGAATTACACAAAAAAATAACCGAAGTTAGTTGTTTTTACTTGCAACAAATTTAACCGCTTTCAAAACAAATCCACAACTATTTTTCACCTGCACCAAGCATAAAAGGTAAATCCATTTCATCTTTTTGCCCCTCTCTCTCAACTATCTCTTCCATCATGTCTTCAAGTTCAGATAAAAAGAACAAGACGGTAAAAGGATAAAAACAGAGCTTAGACTGTTCTCCTTTCATCGATCAGGGTCAACGAAGTTTGACCGTAGAAACAAGTAATCAACAGGGTTAAGGATGTAATTAAAACCAAACAGGTGTTTTACTGTTTACATTAATATATTTTTTAATCTGCTTCGGTTCTGTTGTTGTTTTCGATCTTCTTCATTTTATATAAGGTTTCTAGTTTGCTTATATATATATATGTCTGTTGAGCCGCTAAGGGGGGCAAGAAAAAAGTTCGAGAAAGTAAAAGGCGGACGATGAGTGCACAGATTTTGTGATCATTTTGGGTTTAGATTAATTTTCTAGAGAGAAAAATGAGAACGAGGAGATGGCTTTGTTACCCCACAACCGATGTTTGTTTAGAGAAGATAGATGTTCAAATTTTGGGTTTCGCCGGAGATAATATGGGTTGCCGGAAACGGCGAAGATTTTCGCCGGATATTGGCGGAAAGAGAGACTTTTTTGAAGCTTTGCCCGACGATCTTGTCATTTCTATTCTCTCAAAACTAAGCTCCACCGCCCGTTGCCCTTCCGATTTCGCCAACGCTTTGATTATGTACGTAGACTTTTTTTTTAAGTTGTTTGTTTCTTTATTATTGAATTTTGTTTTTGTTTTCTTAAACAGATGCAAGAGATTTAATAGTTTAGCGCTTCATCCTCTCGTATTATCCAAAGCCTCTCCAAAAATGTTTGCGGTTAATGCTAGAAACTGGTCCGACTCAGCTCAGAGGTTCTTGAAGAAATGCGCTGATGCTGGAAATTTTGAAGCTTGCTATACACTCGGCATGGTGAGTTTCATTTTTTTTTTACTTTTTTTATCGAAGAATTTAAACATTCTATAACGTGGTTACTTGTTGTATGATTTGAAACAGATTCTTTTTTACTGTTTGGAAAATCGAGGAGGTGGGGCCTCTCTTATGGCTAAGGCGGCGATGAGCTCCCACGCACCGGCGCTTTACTCCTTAGCTGTGATTAAGTTCAACGGAAGCGGCGGTTCCAAGAACGACAAGGATCTTAGTGCCGGTGTGGCTTTGTGTGCTCGAGCAGCTTTTCTTGGCCACATCGACGCCCTCCGTGAGCTCGGTCACTGCCTTCAAGACGGATATGGCGTCCGGCGAAACGTCATCGAGGGCCGTCGGTTTCTTGTCCAAGCCAACGCCCGAGAACTAGCGGCTATTTTATCATCTGCGGCGGCTTCTTCTAACAAATTTACGTGCTCTTGGCTCAAATGGAGCCCACACCTCATCCCGCACCCTAACCTTAACCTGAACCACCATCATCCGACTGTGCCGGGTTGCCCGTTGCTTAGCGATTTCGGATGCAATGTGCCGGCTCCGGAGGCGCATCCGGCTAACAAGTTCTTAGTCGAATGGTTCGGCTCTCGGGGCGGGGTACCCGGCCCGGAATTGAGACTATGCTCCCACGTCGAGTGCGGGAGACCGGAGATAAGAAAACACGAGTTCCGGAGGTGTTCCGTTTGCGGGGCTGTGAATTACTGCTCACGCGCTTGCCAGGCTCTAGACTGGAAGCTCCGCCACAAAGCAGAGTGCGCACCGGTGGACCATTGGCTCGATGAAGAAGGCGATGGTGGCGAGGGAAACGAAGCGGTAAATGGGATCGATGAAGTCGTCTCAGAAAGTTAAAAAACAATAAAGGCTCACGGTAATTTATTATTTAGTTTTAACTTTTCAAGGCCACGAGAGAAAAAGAGGCCAGTTTTGGTGGTAAATTCGAGGTTAAATATCGAACTTTACCGATGACGAGGGGGCGGCTTTGTTTCTTTTTCTTTAATCTGTTCACTTCGGTAAATTAAAATTCAATATCCGGTACTTTTATTTACATTGTTCTTATAATTATAATAAATTATAATAAAATAATTGTTCGTCCAACTCAATTGGTAAAACATAATATTTTTAATTTTGTGATCGTGTGATCGAGTCCCACGGTGGATAAATTTATAATTTTAATTACTGAGAGCTGCTCTCAAACTATGCAAAAAATCAAAATCAGCATGGAAGATTGCTTTCGCTGAATTTTCCAGAAACAATAAATCTGGAAATTTGGGTAATTAAAAATGGTTAGGAAATTCTGACCATATCTTTTGCTTGTACAGTTGCGCCACAAGCCAAAGGTTGTGAATCTGAAAATGAAGCAAAACAAGAATCTCTTGACCACCGTATCCTAATCCATATTTTCATTATACATTGCAAAGACTTGATCGAATATGAATTCTTGAATTTATGATAAGTAAAACGTTATGAAGCATCAGTATATTGGTTTCACGAGACAACTAAAGCGAACCTCCCTAACCTGAATCCGATTCAGAATTGGAACCAGAACCAGAATTGGAATCTGATTTACTAGCATCGTCAACGTTTTTTTGTCCTTTGCTTCAGCTTTACTCAACTCAGCAACCGGAATCAATGGCAGATACCTGAACACAGGGTAACCTTTCCTCCTCATGTCCTGAACCAAACAGTTGTACTACTTGGACAAATTATTCGCTATGGGAATGATCATCTCCGCAACCGAGTGGAAAGCTGAACTGTGGTTCAGTTTCACGCATAACTTGGTCGAGATCAACATAACGAACTGCTTGTACTCACTTGCAGCGTAGTTCAAAGCGCTGCAAGCGCCGTTAGTTCGAGCCTCGTCGACTAATTCCTGGGCCTTTTGTGCCGCCGTGTGAACGAAATCTTGCGCTTGATTCAACATTTCCTTACCTGCTGGTGGCACGTGCTCGTCAAATTTGTGCGTAGCCTCGTCTACCTGCACAGTTAATTTACAAACTGGTTCGCATAATTACTTGATATTAAGCGGGAAACAAAGGAGATTCACACACACACACACAAAATAATTCTGATCCAAACAGAAAATTTTACATTTCACCTAGTGTATAATCCATTAAACATAAACTTACATTACCTTCGTATCTAGAAACATAAGAAGATTATCAGGAACGTCCTTAAATTTTTCATAGGCGGGCCCACCGATGGTTGTGATGGCACCCTTGACAATGCCGACAATCGACCGTAACGGACCAGAATTCTGCTTAGCATACTCGTAAAGATTCGACACACAAAGCGGCATACGGATCGCAGCCACCCTCACCAATCCTACGTTCTTCAGGCGTTGTTTCCTGCTCTCAAAACTCTACCTCCTAAAACATAATAATAATAATTACACATGGAAAAAAAATTCATTAGCCTAACTTTAAAGCATGAACGAGAGAGAAAAAAGATGAATGCCTTTTCCATGATCGTAAGTTTTCTGATCGGAGATCGTCAGGGCTTTCGTTTCCGTTTTTGTTTTCAGAAATGCCAAGTGCGTGTCGCCGTATTATTTTGTAGATCAACCAACAAATATCAATTAATCATTTAATCTGGGCCGTCTGATGAGGATCCAACGATGGATATTGGATCCAAGGGATGAAAGGAAAAATAAGGGATTCGTGATGGAAAGGTGGAAGGCGTTTTCTTCGTGGAGATTATGTAACCTTCCTGTTTAAATTGATATTGTGATTTAATGAAGAAGTGTATAAAACATAGCATATATAATCCCTTCAGAAGACGTCGCATTGGTTGAAACCTTTAGACGTCTGATTCGAGCTTCATTTTATTTATAAACTTTGGACTTCTTTAACATCCAACTCGAGAAAACTTACAAACATAATCGAACATTATCGTAAATAATCAACAGAACATTAAAAGAAAATACTGGACCGAGCTTCGAATATTAAATCCACACAACTCTATAATATATATTTTTCTACGCTAACATCATTCAATCTGAATAAGAGTTGCACTTTCGCCTACGTTAAATCTTTTTCAGACTGTCCAAACTCCAAACACATGACTACACCTCGACTTATTTCTCTCCCTCTTTTTTCTATTTGGAATCCCACACTTTTGATTTTGAGTCATTTGATCGACTCGTTCAAAGATCCTCCGAGTTGGAGTTGGAGTTAGGCTCGGGCCATAAACAAAGAGAATGGTTATAACTGTCTACGGTAGAGGATCGAAATCAATCCCTATTCAAAACTATATAGCTTGCGGTTGCAGTTCAGTTTCGTGATAAAGCTCACCTTTCAAAAGGGTCTCCTCTGCTCAAATTTGAAGTAGGATAAACAGCTGTGACTATTTTCTCCCGAAGATTGAATTTCTTCGCTATCAATGGCCTCACATCTTCGACTCCAACCAAGCTCTCCAAAAACGGAAGTAGTGAAAGTAGTTCTCGGTCTGAACGGTCGTCAAACCAGCTCTCGATTGGAATTCCGTTGTCCACTTGGAACCCAAATGCCTAAGAAATCCAACAAACACCTTGGTTAAATTTCAGAAACAATGTTTATCGAGTAAAATAGACAAGCATATCCTACATGATGGGCTAAACCATAAGCATATCCTATACCTCGGTTAAGCCCTAAAATAGAGAGGCTTGTATAAACCAGTCCATGTATCGGATAATTTTCTTTTCCCAAAATACGGACCAAAGGTTCCATAAACCGGTTTCACGAATTCATCAAATTTTTTGCATGAAGTGTGGTCGACCTCACAAATATAAAACCAATAAGAATAAACATAGATGTATCTACACGCATTCCATACTAATCCTATCAGAACCATAGCAGAAATAATTTTCTTAATGCCATGTACATGTCCTACAGCTGGGTGTGCATTACTGAAAACTATCTTCCTTTTTGTTTTTTCAGTGTTTAGCAGATTGATACAAAGTCCACACAAGAGAGGTCCAAAAGTACCTGCGGAGAGTTGTCGATAATGATTACATGTGCCAGATCACGACCAAGGACTGACAAATCCTTGAGGTAATTGCCATCCACCAAAACACATGATTCTCGAAAAACACGATGGCGAAATACTCTCCTCTTTGGATCAAGCACATTTAGAAGTTGCTCGGCATATATGCTTTGGCTTGCTGTAAATATAATTATCTCAAAAAGACTGGAAACTCGTTCCATAAAATCTCTTAGGTGAGGACGGCATCTAACATACACAGTGTGTTCCTGGAGATTAAAATTTACAGGGAATGTGAAGTCTGCATCGTCACAAGGTTCTAGTGAAGAATGAACCAAAGTCTCTGCCAAGGCAACACAATTGAGTCAATACCCCAGGGTAATCCTTACCAATTATATGCAGAAAATTCAAAGCTAAAAGAATGTTAATATAGACAAACCTAAAAAAATCAGTTTAGATTTTTCTAAGGGTGCGTTTGGTTCACGGAATGTAAAATTACCAGTGGGAATAAAAGATTACTAGAGAATAAAATTACTGAGAATGTTGTATTTTGTGTTTGATTGGTTTAGCAAGAATGTAAGATTACCGTGTTTGGTTAAAGGAATAAAAGATTATTGGAATATATATTTGACCAAATTGTCCTTATTATATATTTGCTTTTTAACAAGTTAGAAAATATTTATATATTTTCTTTAAAAAATTTAAATTCATAAAATTTATATAAATTTTTTTACAAAATTGAAAATATTAAAAGATTTAATAAAAGGGTAAAATTTTATTTTAACTCCTGAACTTCATATAAAATTTTAATTATAGATTTTTTTTGTAAATCTAAAATAGTTTAAAGATAAATTTGTAATTTAACCTTCGTAGAATTTTTACTATTCAATGACAAAATAAAGATATTTTTGAAAGAAAATTTTTTTAAGAGCATTTTAGTCCAAAACGCCGATAATCCAACAATACCTAAGGAAAATGAGGTAATGACATTCCCGGTAATATACCCAAAAAAATCCACTATTGGTAATATAAGATTACCGGGAATGACATTCCCGGCCAACCAAACGGAGGAATGTGGATTCCATTCCCATGGGAATCTCACATTCACCCAACCAAACACACCCTAAGAAAAGAATCAGTTGTAAATTCAGGTCTGCTTAAATATTAAGATAAAAAAGAATATAAATCTAAAACTTGTTGCTTGAAGATTTAGTCAGGATTCAGGTTAAAAATACTGCCAAAAACACAACTGTAAGCATAAAATTTCATCCAATTTAATTATTCAAAAGTATACTCACCATCCAAGTCCAAGACTAGAGTCGTAGGTGGGCAACTTCGGGTCTGCTTGGGTAGCAGCACAGGCCGAAATGCAGGAACAACAGATGACAACTCAGGTAAGTTCTTTATAAACAAATAAGGATCAAAGTCGTCAAATTCCTCATAGTATTCATCCTCCACACAGACATCAATTGACATAGAATCTTGACCATGCTCATCAATACATTCCAATTTCGAGTTCTTCATGGCCATGTATATGGCTGAAACTTCAGATGAAAGGACAGCTCCAGAATCTGTGGTACAAATCACAGGATTCGTGTCCGCAACAAGCATTTCCTCTACAGAAGTAGACTTAAGAGTTTCTCCAGTATGAGCATCCATATCAACCTCTGACAAAGACATGGATACATTATGCATGCATTAAGATAATATCACATAAAAGAAAGAAAAGCACAGACAGGTATTACAATTGAGACACACATATATATCACCTACCTGCGCATGCAATCTCAGCTCTGCAATTCTTAGGTATGTGGAAGCCTGGAGAAAATATAGTACGGTGATCAGTGCCCTGCAACACAATTAAAGAAGTAAGCAAAATCTCAGCAGCATAGAGCTAATTAAAATAAAACAGAGCTAAACAAATTACCGTATGATCTACATGAACACCATTAACCGCATCAAATCCCAGACAAGCATCAGAAGCATCATGATGTGCCAAGCCATACCTAGCATTTAAATTCGTAGCCTGAACAGACACTTCATTTTTCTTTGGGATTGTGCTGCCTGAAATTTGATAAATTTCACTATTTAACTAACATAGCAAATCTTACGGTTAAGGGCAGACTTTGGGAGCCAAAATCAACAAATGAAAAGTATTATCACTGCAATCTCCTTTCGATCAACCAAATACTAAGATAAAACTAGCAACATACCAGGTTTCTTCTTCCTAACAGAAGACGTAATTAACTCTGCTACTTTCTTCTCTGGACCTTGTACCTTCTCAGATACCTTCTTCTGAGGTCTTGAAGCTTTGGGACTGGCATGATCTCGAGAAGAAATTCTTCCAGAAATTATTTCTTTGTTTGCATTGGACCAGAAGTTTCCTCACGATCTTCAGGATAGTATCAAATTTAAAGTATTTAAAATACAATAATATTTTTAGAAATAAAGTTGAACTCCTGTTCAAATTTGTTTAATATAGAAATAAATTTGAACTACTGTTCAAAAAATATTTCAAACTATGTTCTGACTATTTAATATAGACCGAAACAATTAAAAAAGACAACCGTCTAAAATCTCTACCTTAATCCTGATTTACATTACTCAAAGCAGGAGCCTCTTCTCATTTAAAATTGTTTCCATTCAAAACCAGATCATACCCAAAACTCTCCACCTAATTTAAGTGTAGCTCCCATTCTATTTAAATCATCGAAAAGGACAAATTTTTTAAAAACCTAAGGAACACCAGCTCCCCAAAACAGAGCACACTAAACCTACAAATAATTGCAAACAAAACAATCCAATGAAGAAAAGCACCAAAACCAACTTAAACCCTATTGATTCTAGAACAAGGATCGTCGAACCAGTACAATAAACATAGCCTTTCAGTTAAGTTAAATAAAGTTCGTCAAAGCAAAGATGTATGCAACAACTGAAGCTACAAACTTTAGCTATAAGTAACATGAACTAAAACGAGAACAAAATTGCCAGATAAGGTGAAAGAACAAAAATGGATACGGAGAGAGATGCAAAATTGAGTAAATTGAAACCCTAATGGGTTTTAGGCACTCTGGGGTTTTGCTTTCCCTCCAAAGACGGTGAAAGAGAGGGAAAAAAACGAGGAGGATCGAAAATTATTTTTCCTTGAATAAAGAGGTTGGCTCATAAAATAAAAATGGGATTTTTTTTTTTAAATTCTGATCTTATCAGAAAATGTCCTACTAGCGATTGATATTTAATCGATGCCACTCGCTACACAATTCGTAAATGGAAAACGTGGCGGTCAAGATATAGCGAGTGATTATGAACTTATGATTTAGCGAGTACGAGTTGAGCTTCTCTGTGCCGTGTTTATGCATGATTAAGCTTGAAACGATGCCGTTGGAGACTGATTTTCTTTTGAGATTTTTTATTTTGGTTTGTCTTGCTTTCTACTTTCTATTTTACGTCCCGAGGCACTGACGTTTTTGTCTCAATTCTTTTTAGGTGTTATACTTCTTAAGTTTCTTGCATGAGCCCTTCTTGCTTCTCAAATCCATAATGAACCCCATTAATATTTTTCTTATTTTTATTATTTTATAAAGGGTTTTTAATTGGCAATGCCCATCAAGGTTAATGTGGATGCGGATTCTTATACCATCGGGCTGCTACAATAGGTAGTTTAGTGTGTAATCACGTGGGGTTATGGTTGGATAGTTTTTATTTATAATATTGGATCATGTTTTATGATTAGTGCATGTAACATGTGCTAGAGTAACAAAGTTACAAATTGCATGACAGAACTTGTAGGTAAATCCTATAGGATTTACGACAATAGAGCATCACCTGTCTTAATTATCCTAATCATCTTTTTTAGATTATACATAGAATTGGCACTCAAATTAATTATTTATTAAAAACCATCCTTTAGTTACACATTTTTAAAGTACTTTTGACAAAAACACGTTTCTCAATTAAATATAACCCTTTAATTGAGTGATTAAGATTTGAGTTAATAGTTAGATAGTTTTGGATTTAAATCTCACCACAGATATAATCTTTTAAAAAAGTAATATTTGAGTAACTGAGCTGCATCTTCTGACATTACTATTAAGACCTGCTGGTAATAGACAACCCCTCAGCCAATCATAGTATCAAACAACGTTCGAAACTCAGATTACGGCGTTTAGTAATGTAATTTGCCATTTCATTCTTTATAAAAAGGAAAGTAACCGGTTAAAATATAAAATTTTTGAAAGTAGAAGGGCCACGTAGAGAAATAATTTGGAGTGACTGGTTTAATAATTGCAGTGCCTCGCTGGTCGAATCTTTAAATAATAAAAAAATTGAATTGGAGTTACAATCGCCGCCGCCTGCACGGAAATCAATTTATCGATGACGTGTAGATCTATCTATACACCACTTAACGGATTGAATAAGAATAATAAACTAGTACAATTTGGTGATTTTCGTATCATATCTATTCTAATTGGGACGGGGATGGGTATGACTTTAGTAGAAAGTGGACGGGTGTTGATTTAGAAAGTGGTACCCATTGCGGATAGTGGGTGGGTGATGGGTTTGATACCTTACCCATCTCGCATATGCCCGCCCACTAATACCCATTAAATTTTGGATCATTATGAATTTAAATATAATTTAGATACTAATTTATAAATTTTAATATTGTAAAGATATAACTTATAATATTTGGTTTATTTATTATGATTCTTAATGTACGTATTTGTTTTATGTTGTTGTCTATATATAACTTAAGATTAATGTCAAGCGGTCTAACTGGGTACGTCTCCAGTTAGGTAGTAGGTGTGGGATATATTTAAGAATGTATCTACGTGGGTAGGTGTAGATCTAAAACATTTTACCTATCATTGATGGTAGGCAGACGGTGAATTTAAAAATATATGTGGATTTGGGATCGGAGAGGTAGTATACCTCCCGTTTGCCATCCCTAAGATTGAGAATGCGCCTTAAACAAATTTTGTATTCTGGATATTGGGCCAGGCCCAGATCCTGGACTAGGCAGATTCGTACTAAATCTCCCGCGCTACAACTTTGCCCATTTTGTCTTTGTTTTATTTATTAAATTTATTTTTATATATTAAATATACATGATTTTTAATTATAATTATAATATAAATAAGGATGAATTCCATTGTACAACGGAAAAGTTTTATTTTAAATTTAAATTTATGTATATACATTTAATGACATTGTTTTAAAAAGAAATCGTCCATGTAAAGAACAAATTTCTTTTCAAGATTTTATTTTCAAATTTAACCAGCAATATAAAATTTGAACCCGATAATTGTAAGTCGAATACATTTATGTACGTTTGCATGCTTTGCAAAAGGATTAAATGCAATATTTTTTATTTAAGGAAACGGATTGAGATTAAACACTATAATATATTCAAAAAGAGGTTTTCAATCAAAAAGAATAATTACAGAGCATCCTAATCTCGAGAGAAAAGAAAGGCAAAACACAGATTTTATCTTTTGTTCTTCTTGCTGCATTGGTTCTATCCATAGGTATGTGTACATGACACCATTTTGTTATACTTTTATTTTATTTTATAATTTTATAGTGGTTAAGAAAAATTATATAATATTGTTTATATCCGAATAACATACAGATGTCATGAGAGTGGCAGGCGATGGAAAATGTTGTAAAATTTTCCAGAGCTAGGGAGCTGCGTGAAGGGAAAAGATGACACAGAGCCTGATGGAAAATGTTACAAGTTTTGTACACCAGAATGCAAATTTGCTCATTGTCAATTCAATGAGTGTCATTGTGCTTGTTGATCTTAGTTTTTCAGGAACACAATTTTGAATAATTGAGATGATAATATATTCTCAAATTTAAATAAATATATATTTTTATTTCTTTTCTTTTATTTTTTTTTATTATATTTGGCTATAATATAATGTTATAGTCTCTATAAACAACGTTCAGAGTCATCCTCGTAATAAATTTATGCAACACACAATATTCGAATTCAGATTAATCAAGTGATAGATGAAATGTCATGCATCTATAAAAATTATAAATTAACATCTTCATTATGTTTCAAGATTATTTAAGAAAATACATTAGTATATAGTAATTCAAATTACAATTACGATCTATTCGAAAAAAGCAATAAATAATCTTCTTAAAATATAATTATAATACTAAAAAGAAAGAAGAAAAAAACATTTTAGAAAGACAAAAGAAACTTAAATGAAGGTTGAATTTCGTTGTCTAATTCCATACTAGTGAATATAATTAGTATCATGTATTAACAGAAAATATTTATTTTAATAATTTATATTTATATTAATACATTAATAGCACCTTTTTTAAAAGAAACATAACCTATACAAAGAAACAAATCAAAAGAAACCATAATGCAAAAGAATTAAATACGATCATATACGTATTAATATTAAACGCTATAAATAGTATATTCAAAATGAGATTTTCAATCAAACAAAAAGTTTAGAGCATCATATAATCTTAAGAGAAAAGAAAGATGGCAAAAACATAAGTTGTAAAAATTATATAATATTGATTATATTTGAATAATATTACAGATGTAAATTCGCTCGTTGTCAATTTAATCAGTGTCATTGTGCCTGTTAATCTTATTTTTTTTTAGGAACCCATAAAAATATTAAATAACTGAGATGATATTATACTCTCAAGTTTAAATAAAAATAATATGATTAGTTTTTTATTTATTGTATTTACTTCTCTAAGTATATGATTTTTTTTTTAGTTTTTTACTGAGCTTATGATTACTCGAATTTATTTTATTTATATTAACTGTATAATGTTTTAATTAATTGAAAATATTCCAAAAATGATTATGAGAAAGCTTGTTTGGTTTAAACAAGAACCCTGAAATTTCTTTCCATGTACTTAATAATTACAATTTTTTTTAACTCGGTGAATAATCATTCAATTATTCAGGTTTATTTTAATAATTGCTGTAAAAATCACCACCAGCTTTATTTTTTCCCCTTCCGATTCCAAAACTTCGCCTTAATTAATCTGGATCGTGCTTTGAATATATCTAGTGGTCTTCATTCCAGTATTTTCATCTTCCTCTTTAATAATGCATGAATATCATTTCTATTTCCATTTAGTGAGTATTAATGTAATGTATTAATAGAAAATATTTATTTTAATAATTTCTGTTTATATAGATACATTTAGGATAAATTATAATATTATCACTCATCTTTCTTCTCACTCATATTCTGATCACTAAAGTTTAAAACTAAACTGATAGAATAATAGAAGATAATGATACAAGTTTATCGATGTTTTGAGTATCAAATAATACACCATAGAATGATGATTTTAGTGTCAATGTCACTTAAGGATGAAATTGTAAGACTTTTACATTTAAATAATTAATTTTTTTAAAAAAACTTGTTTAGTCTAACAAATAGTAACTATTTGTGATTTGGATTTCATAGTAAAACATATAAAATTCAAATATTAATAACAATAAGATGCAATATCCCTTTATTTATATAAGGATCAGTTTTGAGTGCATGTTGTATACCGAAATATATTACTAATGTGACACACCGATGTACACCACTAATTAAATTGTCTTTATTAAACAAATATAAAAATATATTCACTTATCCACATTAATCTTTTATTATATTAGTTTAAATTTTAATAATAATATAATTAATTTATATTTTCTTATTAAAAATTATAATTATTTTAGGTTTTTTATTTGTTTAGGATTAGAACACTTAATTTATAAAAGTTTGCATATTCATCCCAACAAAACCCATCAAACTAACCGCCGACAATCCTATTCATCACCGAAAAATCGTGTTACTTACATGTTGTTATGTAATGTCATCCCCACTAGGCTCTTCCTATGTTTATGTAATTTTTTTCACAGCTGCATATTAGTTTATTAAATTGCTTAAGGAATTATTGATAATTTTTTATTTATATGTAATTTGAACTTCTGCTCTGATTAATGTTACATGCTATAGATTCATCCTATACAAAGATACAAACTTCAACTCCTCTTATTGTAACTAGTTTAAGAAGTGATTTTGTGCATTCACCACCAATGATGGTAGAACCTAGCGGTTTAGGCAATTTGAAGTCATTGTTTACATATGAAGAATTAACCGAGTCTATGAATATTTGTTAGACCATAATCCTTTGGGAAAAGGTGAATTTGGGGTTGTTTATAAAGGTTGCTTACAAGATGGAAGAGGGGAGGTTGTAAAGCAACTAAAAACCGATGGGGATAGGGTGAACGAGAAATTAAAACCGAGGTTGAAGAACATGATCTTCCGACAATGAATAGAATCGTCGACAGTTGATTCTGATGATTGCTATTGGGATGAATATGTAAATTTTATATAAATTAAGTGTTTCAATCATAAACAAATAAAAATTCTCATAATAATTATAATTTTTAAATAAAATATATATAATTTAATTATTCGTATTAAAATTTAAACTAAATGATAATAAAGATTAATTATGGATAGATCATATTTTTTTAATATTTATGTATTAAGGATAATTTAGTTAGTAGTGTATATCGATGTATCACATTGGTAGTGTCTTTCGGTACACGACATACATTCTAGAATTTTCCATATATATAAACTATTGTTTCGAGGAAATTGGGTACAAGAGTCTTGCTTTACTTGTGAGAATGGGAGAGAAAGAACCGTGGAACTCAAATGTTTTTGATGTCATTAGAATAAAGTTTTTAAAAAGAAAAACTTCAAAATTTAAAAAACATAATATTTATTGTTCTTCAAGCAACTATTAGACCCCACGGAAGACTCCAAATTGTCTAATAGAGACGCCTGCAAAGAGTAAGGCCATCACCGATGGAAAGGAGCGATGGTTCTACACGGGATCAGCTGCCACAAAGCTATTGAATTCCATCACGAAGTTTCGAAACTTCTTGATCAGATCGTCCGTCACTTCCTCCTCCGATTCGGCCACCGACCCGTACCATAAAGTGTTGTCGTAAGCTACGATCCCTCCGACCTTCACCAACTTCAGCGTCAGCTCATGAAACTTTAGATAATCGCTCTTATAGGCATCAACAAACACGAAATCGAAGCTCTCTTCTTCCCCCTGCAAAGGCTCACGTCCGTTAAACATGCGAATCGAAGTATATACGCGCGCGCACACATAAGTATTTACCTTTATAATGAGATCGTTTAAAACTAAGAAGGCATCTGATTGGATGAATTTGATCTTGTTCTGCATTCCTGCTTTCCTAATAAATGGTTGACCTGTCTGGTAAGCTTCTTTGTCGGGGTCAATTGCTATGATCTGCACTTATAAAGCAAATCGGCTAGCTTAGCTACATTTCACCTAGAGATACATATACCTAAGAAAATGGGGTTATCACCACTTTTAGCAGTTCACTCTTTCTTATTGAAACTGAGAATTGTAGCCGGTTATTCAGTGGCCGGAGAATATGGCTTTGGGGCTCGATAAATGGAAGACTGTGTGTGACTTGCGGAGAGGATCCGAAGGAACTCCGGAGACTTCAGGGCTCGATAGGCGAAAGAATGACAACTAAGATGTGACTTGCGAAGAAAATTTGAAAGAATTACAACAACACTCATATACGTATACATGCAGACAGATACCTGGCCGTCTTGGGGCAATGCAAGAGCCGTTGCGAGAAGGGAATAGCCTGTAAAAACTCCAATTTCCATAGTCTTCTTGGCATTCATTATCTTTAGAAACAAAGACAAGAACTGCGCTTCATCAACAGGCACATTCATGACGCTCCTGTGTTTATATATGAATATTAATTCAAGTTCGAAGTGATAATCTTAAAGAAGAAAATCAACTTACAGGTCTTTGTATTTCTCAGCAGTGGCCTCTCTTAGTTCCTTCAGCTGCTCATGTTCTTTGGGATAGGCACTTGTTTCAAAGATGTACTGCAATTTTATACAGTCACAAAGGTAAAATTGATGACATTGTAATTAAGCAGGAAAGAACAAAGACGTATATGCAGGAAAGTAATAAAAAATACTTGTTGCAAGGCATTGTTTCTGAGGATTGTCTTCTTGGTCCAATCTGCCATTTTTTTTAAAGCTTTTGCAGCAATGGCTTCATTTCATTCTGGCTATCCTCATCTATATATATATATATACGTGCTGAATATGCATGGAATGTAGGTAGGTCATTCTTCTTGTCCTTTTCTTTTTAATTTTAATGGAGTGGTTGATTCATCAAAAAAATAATAATGGAGTGGTTGAAAATATTTACTTTATTTATGAATGAGCTGAAAATATTGCTTATACTTTCAAAGAATAAAAAATGTCACGTATGTTAAGGGCAGTTGTAATTAGGATGTGTATATGACCCGAATTTGATCAGATCATATCGTTTTTTTTTTGTTTTAAATTAAGTTTAGATCTGAACAGATTTTTTTTAAGGATGAGAATTGAAATTGAATGTGGGTGTAGGTTTTTATTTCAAAAATCGGATTATATTAGGAGAGTTTTTTAAAAGCTTGATTGGTTTAAATACGTGAAAAAATTTAGTTTTCGTATCAAGTTCGAGTGAATCAAAATTGAACGTAAGTATGTAACCATGAATAATTTTAATTATAAATATTATATTATCAACGAAAAGAATTCTAATTTAAATTTCAAAGATAAAACTATTAAAAAAGATAATTTCGAGTCACGTGCATAAAATACATTATGAAAAAAAATGGGAAAATAGTCAACAAAAATCACCAAAGAAAAGTATTTCACGCACTATGTTTGGTGGGTTCTCGTTGTTTCGCTAATGCACTTATGCACGTCTCTTGCTAGGGGTTTTCTGTACAAATTATGCTCCTGGTCATTGTAATTTTTTAAAATTTAGTTATTTTATTTATTTTGATTTCAAAATTTAAAATGAACGAAATTTGATTACTAAAATTATTAATTGGATAATAATTTTTAAATCTAAAAAATGAAAATGTTACTAAAAATTAACGATATTTAATGATTACGATTAAATTTGATTTGGATAGTTAATATGACGTCCTAAATCATATAGGTCTAGTATGTCACATTAAACTTTTAGAACAACCACACTTAGAGATGAAATTGAGACTCGAACCCTATGAGTTTAAACCCGACCCAAATTGATAGAATTAGGTTTTTTTAAAAAATTATGTTCGAATCGAATCAGATTAAACTTTATATATAATATGTTCAGGTTTAGATCGGGTTGAGTTTAAGGTCAAAAGAATCCTACCCGACCCGACCTGGTACTTTTAAATTTATATACATTTTTTCATGTTAGCTATTAGACATTATATCACTAAAGTAACCCTACCCTACCCTACCCTACCCTACCATGTGCTGACATACATTGTCCTTGGCTCCCTGCTTACTCACATTTTCGGATTGTACCTCCCATTTCAGTTTACCTTCTCAAAAGCTCCAAGCCACTTTTCGACGAACTAGTCTGTAAGTATTTCTAATTTTTTATTTTTATTCTTAGAAATTCCACTCTTTTATAATTTTAATTCATCTTTAGTTATCACTATAACAGTTGATAAATTTTAAAAAATTCGGGTCGGGTCGAGTTTCTCGTCTATGAATCAGGTCGGTGAAATTTTTTACCTTTCGGGTCAGGTCGGATTGGGTTCGGGTGGAGAAATTAATTTTTTGGGTCAGGTCGGGTCGGTCGAAAATCTGATCCGACCCATTCCCATCCCTAATCACAATGATAAAAAAATCATTTAAATTGTCATAATAAATATGAAATCATTATAAAACAAACCATCTTAAATTATTTTTGTTAAATATAATTTTTTTTAAAAATTATTCTAATATAAAGTTTAACGTGTTTTTCATAATATTGAATATTTCCACCAAAGTTCAAAATAAATGGTTTTCAATTATTGATTTTAGTCAAAATTCAACAAAAGGTTTATGTCAATTGGTTGGCAAAAGTCGTAGTGGGTGAGAATGCAAAAAGGCAAAAGAAAAAGGACGTTTGTGGCACTAGACATTTGCAGATTTTATAAAATTTCCAATATAAACTTTCGGTCAAATTTTGCCATTAATATTTGTATTATATTTTATAATTCAAACTTTTTAGTCCACTTAAAATAATATAATTTTATAATCAAATTTTTAATTTTTATAATTATAAATTCTACCAACAGTGTTAAAATTACAATAAATATATTTATTTTTTACAAAAAAATAATGATACTTGTCATTATTTTAAAATTATTTAGTAAATTATTATTTTACTACAAATATGCTAAATAATAATTATATTGCTTAAGGACTATTATGTGCTATACTAACAGTGAAAAAATAATTGAACAAATAATATTTTTTATAATGTTAAAACTTAAATATATTCTTATAGAAGGGCATTTTTAGGTGGATGAATTATTTTTAAAGTAGTGTAATATTTCTATATAAATTTTAACTTAGTTTTTGTTTGCCACCTTTGTCAAAAGTCGAATCCCTCTGACCCACAATTCGGCCATTTCAACCCCGCCATGACACACGAAATGCACCTCCTTGTTCTTCGTAGTCACCACATGGAACATCCCCGGTTCTTCCACATCGAGCTTCCTCCTCCGGTTCCACCGGAATTTTTTGCTCGGACCGACCTCGGCTACCTTGCACACCACGTTTCTCCTTCTCGATTTGCCCCACCGCAGAATGCCACTGGTCTGCATCATTTTCAGTTCTTTGCTGTGGGGTGATCCTTTACCACACTTAGTGTGCTTCTTCACCCGGCTTCCATCGACAACCAGAGCTCGAGCTAGCTCGTTAAGGACGACATTCTCTGCATGGTTTCCGCACCCTTTTTTCCTCGCAAGCGAAAGAGCTGTTTCGTGCCTCGCGTTTTCGATATCGCATTTTGCACCACTAGAAATTAGAAATTCACAAACTCCACCATAGCCTCCTCTGGCTGCTAGCATTAATGGGGTGTATCCATCAGCATCAAATGCATTAACATCACATCCTCTATTAACTAATACGTGAACTAAATTCAAGTCTCCTCGCTTCGCCGCACGATGTAGAGCGTAAAACCCGACCGGACCATTTACCTCTTCAAGTGCATACTCCACCATTAACTGGTCGAATACATCGCCGTTTTGGTTTACCTCTAATAAACTGATGGCGGTGTCACCGTACTTATTAGACAAATTTATATTAGCACCGGCACGAAGAAGTAATTCAAAGGCTTCCAAATGGCCTCCTGATGCAGCCATAATCATAGCTGAATTTCCATCTCCATCTTGTTCGTTAAGGTCGATATCGGTCCGTTCAAGGAGTTTCTTTAAAGCCTCGATCTTGTTTGCTTGAATACTGAACATTAACGGAGAAAATACGGAGGGATTGCTCGATCGAGGTGTCTTCCCTGCTAGAATCACATCCACAACTGCTTGTTGGAAGCCATGATTCCATTTGGTTAACCCTGAAATGGAACTTGCACTTTGGCCAGCAGAGTTTAACAATCCAAAGTCAGCTCCAGCGGAGGACAGTACTTTAATGCAGTCCCCACGTTTGTATCTAGCACAAATCATAAGTGCAGAATCTCCGAAAGCTGTTTGGGAATCGATATCACATCCGGATACAATCAGGCATCGAAGAACTTCAGCAAATCCTAGTTTCGCGGTCAAATGGATCGGACGTAACTCTGTTTTTGAAGTTGTTTCGACCGGAAATTCTACATCAGCACCGCAATTCAGAAGCACTTCAACAGCTAACGCATTGTTACATAAGATGGCATGATGGATGAGGGTCCTGCCACAATGAAGGTTGTTGGGAGAGGCATTGAAGTAGCAACCGCAAGATCGAACCGGTGACTTCAAAGTATTCCACAGCACACCAGGTGATGGGGTAAGCATCAGCTAGTCCGGCACCGACCCTAATTTCCTCACCCGTATCAATATCCCAAGACCAAGCTCCAACCCTCACCTTTACGTCTGTCTTGATGCCGGCCTAGTATGATCGGTTTCAAATAAGTTAATAATGCAATTTAAAAACTTTCTGCATGTAACTAAACAAGCAACAACTTCATCTACAACCCTATACAGTAATTATGGATCTTCATTGATTGTGTTCCAAGATGCATACCTGCAAAAGTGATCTAACAACAGAGGTCTGCCTACAAACAACAGCAGCAGATAGTGCATTACAGTCGATATTAGCGTATAGAGAAGGCTTGGAAGATCGAAGAAGCACCCTATTAGTTGCACTGGCATCTACTCCGCACTGTCATGAGCATAACCGCGGTTAAGAACTAAAAAACAGGGGTGAAATTTTGTCATAATGAATTATTTTACCTTGATAAGCATGTCAGCAAAATCAACAAACCCCCTGCAGCAAGCGAATACGAGAGCTCGCAAGGCAGCCTGCGGGCGGATCATATCGGTTGCCATTAGCCGCTTGGCGAGTTTAGCATACCCGAGGTAGCTTGACTCCAGCAACGCCTCCTCGCACGCCTCTTGACACGCCCCACTGTCGATGAGCACCTCTAGTATCTCCATATGGCCTTCCCTGACTGTCGCTGTGGTAGCATAGCCTCGAAATAGCTTGTGATTCACATTACCGCCTAAACTCTGCCAAATAAAAAGATTATGTCTTTGCTTTAATTATTTCATCTTCCTATATTTTGCTTCATACATACATACATACATACATACATACATACATACATACATACATACATACATACATACATACATACATACATACATACATACATACATACATACATACATACATACATACATACATACATACATACATACATACATACATACATACATACATACATACATACATACATACATACATACATACATACATACATACATACATACATACATACATACATACATACATACATACATACATACATACATACATACATACATACATACATACATACATACATACATACATACATACATACATACATACATACATACATACATACATATATATATAAACTAACTGTTTTACCAGCAACTTTTTAACGAGAAACTTGTTCCCGACATGAGCTGCAAGGAACAGAGGAGTAACTTCAGTCTTAAACTCCTCGTAATCGACGAGAACTTCGTCGGCAGCCTCATCATGCAACGAAATATCGGTAGTCATAGATTTC